AACGTGACGCCACGCTGCAACAAGATAACGTTCGCCCGCACATAGCGCGAGCCGTCACCGATTTCTCGACCCATAACAATGTGAATAACCAGTCCTGACCTGCAAACTCACCGGATATTTCGCCTATAGAACACGTATGGGTTGAGATGCAGCGACGCTTACGTCGTCTCCAAAATCAGCCGTTGAAATTACCTGACCTGTCACGTGCACTTTTGAGAATATTTCCCAGGATTTTTTCAGCACATCAATGAGGTGTCGTTGTCCAATGGTGGACACACACGGTAGTGATGAACTAAGCCTTGTTAAGGAGAACGTCTGTGAATATTGATCTCCGTCCAAGACGCTGCTGATGCAATAACCATATCAATTGAGTTGGTGTTATGTAAAGGTCAGATACAACACTGCTGATTTTTTGCGAGCGATTTCTTGAATAAGTTATATCATACTATACCAATGCACAATTCCTTTTTTCCGCTAGTAAATATGTAATCGTTAAATGCATATTGATATCAAACCACCCCCTCTTCGATCTCTCAGTGTACCGAATCTTCTTATTTGTTATGGTAATGCCTATTTACAGGATTATGTAGACATGTAAGTTACATAGACCCATCGGTAGAATAGCCCAAAATATTAAACATAGACCCACTAGTAGAATAAGCCTTGATATTTAACATAGACCCACCGGTAGAATAAGCCTTGATATCAAACATAGACCCACCGGTAGAATAAGCCTTGATATTTAATATAGACCCACCGGTAGAATAAGCCTTGATATCAAACATAGACCCACCGGTAGAATAAGTTATTTGATATCAAACATAGACCCACCGGTAGAATAAGTTATTTGATATCAAACATAGACCCACCGGTAGAATAAGTTATTTGATATCAAACATAGACCCACCGGTAGAATAAGCCTTGATATCAAACATAGACCCACCGGTAGAATAAGCCTTGATATCAAACATAGACCCACCGGTAGAATAAGCCTTGATATCAAACATAGACCCACCGGTAGAATAAGCCTTGATATTTAACATAGACCCACCAGTAGAATAAGCCTTGATATCAAACATAGACCAACCGGTAGAATAAACCTTGATATCAAACATAGACCCACTGGTAGAATAAGCATTGATATCACACATACATCCACCGGTAGAATAAGTTGTTTGATATCAAACATAGACCCACCGGTAGAATAAGCCTTGATATCAAACATAGACCCACTAGTAGAATAAGCCTTGATATCAAACATAGACCCACCGGTAGAATAAGCCTTGATATCAAACATAGACCCAATAGTAGAATAATCCTTGATATGAAACACAAACCCACCGGTAGAATAAGTTATTTGATATCAAACATAGACACTCTAGTAGAATAATCCTTGATATGAAACACAAACCCACCGGTAGAATAAGTTATTTGATATCAAACATAGATCCACCGGTAGAATAAGTTATTTGATATCAATCATAGACCCACCGGTAGAATAAGTTATTTGATATCAAACATAGATCCACCGGTAGAATAAGTTATTTGATATCAAACATAGACACTAGAATAAGTTATTTGATATCAAAATCACAGGTAGAATAAGTTATTTGATATCAAACAAACCCACCGGTAGAATAAGTTATTTGATATCAAACATAGACCCACCGGTAGAATAAGTTATTTGATATCAAACATAGACCCACAGGTAGAATAAGTTATTTGATATCAAACATAGACCCACCGGTAGAATAAGTTATTTGATATCAAACCTAGATCCACCGGTAGAATAAGTTATTTGATATCAAACATAGACCCACCGGTAGAATAAGTTATTTGATATCAAACATAGACCCACAGGTAGAATAAGTTATTTGATATCAATCATAGATCCAAGGTTATAATAACCTATTTGATATAAAAAAAAATAGTCAAATAGATTATCTTTGTGCGAAATACAATTTAACTAGTTGTGAAAATTAATAAATAATTAAACAAACACATAACATATCAGCACAATATTTTATGTCACATTTTGAAGACGAGTTCATTAAAAACGATATGATTGGTTGATGTTTGTTGTGTTACAGGTCAATTTAAGGTCATATTAGCTGAAGATCGTTTAACATGACCGTCATATCAAATGATGGTCAAACTTGCATCAAAATCATATAAACTGTAGGTTTCGTTAAAATGAAAGTCACAAGATGTGGTAGATGTGATTGTAGATGTTTGACAAGATATGTACAACACTTTTCATTGGATATTGTGTATCAACTGCATTGGTTGTTTTAGCTTGTTATTTCTTGTGTCTGTTACTTCGTAATTCCATGTGTAGAATGTGGTGGTGTGTCATTGTCAGTATCACTGTCACTACCGTCATCGCTGGAGGGTAGACAAGCATGGCATGCTCTCTGTGTAAGTCTGTCTGTGTTGTCAGGGGAGGGAATATCCCATTCCATTTGTGCAGGTTGCAAGTGTCGTGCATGCGTTTTATGTGGTGGACCATCTAGTTGATTTTTGATAATGAAAGTGGACGGAGAAGTTTGTTTAATAATGCGATAGTGAAGTGTCCACTTCGGTTCAAGTTTGGTGTTGCGTTAGTGATTACCAAATATACAGCGTCGTTAACTTTGAGCGACGTTGGTTGTGTTAATCTGTTTGCTTGTTCTGTGCGCTTTGTCGTAGCGGCAGTGAGATTTATGATGTGTTGGTTTTGTATAACATGTTTGTGGAATTCTTCTCCTAAATATTCCCTACGTGGTGTCGGGAGGTAAAATTGGATCTCTGTGATACAATAGGTAGAATGGACAAAATTTGGAAGATTCGTTCACATGAAATCTCATACTTGCTAATGCATAGGGAATGTTATTATCCCAGTCACTTGGTGTGTCAGTCATAAATTTGGTCAAAATGCTATTGAGTGTTCTATGACTTTTCTCAAACATGGAAATTCCTGTAGGATTTTAAAAGTTCGTTTTGATGTGGTGGATGTGAAGATCAGCTAAAACATCAGTGAAAATTTTGTTTACAAATCCTGTACCATTGTCAGATACAATGTGCAAAGGACAACCAAAACATGGGAAAATCTCCGTTAACAGAATATGAGCTACATTGACAATTTCTTTGGTAGGAATTGGAAAAGCTTCTACCCATCCTGTGAGACAACAAACGAAGCTTAGTATGTACTTGTTGTGTGTTGTATGATGTGGTCCTGAAAAGTCCATTTGAAGTTTAGCAAAGGAAAAGCTGGAGTGTCTGTTTCTTGATGTCGAACCTGTGGTGTGAATGTGGCGGTTTGTCGACATGGAAGACATGCTTTGATGTATTTGTCTAAATGTTTAAAGAAGTTTGGCCAGATATACTTACGCTTGAGCGCCTGATATATTCTATCTCTGCCTTGATGTCCACTACAGTCATGATATTGCGCGATGACTACCTTTGTTAAGTGTTCAGTCTGAGTTCTGCTTCAAAATCGGCCTTACTAATGTAATAAACAGTATCATCACAAAAGAGAAATTTGTTCATCTTCTAGAAGACACATAAAAATCATTAATGATTGGAATCAGAGTGCTTCGTACTGTTAAAGCATTTTGATCGAAATGAAGAATTTCTCCTCCTTAAACAAACCAGTCTCTCCCTAAGATGAGGTTTCCGGACATATCTTCTGATACACAAAATGTAGGAGTGAATTTCATGCCTCTAATAGTGAATTTCAAAGTAATTTCCCCAGAAACATTAAGTTCATTTCGATTGACAGATTTCAATACACAGAAGTTCTATCAAGAGAACTCGCAAGCTTTAATTGTTCTATGACTTTGTAGTGAACGAGGCTCAAGTCAGCATCACTGTCTAATAAACTCCTGTATTTCTGTTTTTAGTTGACATGAATGAGGAGAACTAACGAGAGTAATAATTGTATAAGATAGTCTGTCTGACTGAGATCCGATATCACCCTCACGAAACCGGACCTTGTTTAGTTTCCCTGATTATGTAATTTGTATTGGGAACGTGAATGCCTATTGGATTTATTGTTTTGATGTTTGTTCAGCTGTGGAATATATTGTTGAGAATTAAACTGATATGACTGTGGTCTTGGTGTGTCTGTGATGTTTGATTCTGGACAGAATACCTTATGGTATTGATTTGCCTTCTTTTAAATTCATTAGTGCTTGTAACTTTCATGTAACAGTCTTGAAATAATAACTATAACACTTGAAGACCACTTTAATTCGGCTCGTCGTTTCATTTAAAGTCGACATGTAAAATACACACACTGTGTGACTTGAAGGAACGAATGTAAACGTAAACACACACTATCGATTTCTCGTTAATTTCTATTAAAAGTTATGTGTGTTTTTCATGAATGAAAATGTTTCGTTTTAAGGTAAAAATGCATCTTATCATTTAAATTTTTGGAATTTTTTTTATTTTGTGTTTTGGTATAAATATTGTGTCATCAACTATATATAGCCATGAATATGAAAACACCGATAACTCACCACAAATGATTCGAAGTAGTCCCTTGAACTTCGGTGGTTGGGTGGCGTAGTGGTAAAACACTTACCTTTCACCTAGACGTCCAAGTTTCGATTCGGACCATGAATACGTACAGATTTTCTCCGCGATGATCTTATTTTTGATATCGTCCCTTCTATATTTTCCACACATTTTCGTTAGTAGCTGTATCAACGCTTTTTTTCGCTATCAATACTCGTTTTTAAAAATACTTTTTCGCTTTCGTTCATTTGTACCATTTTTCTGTAGTTCTTTTAAGATAACCGATATTCAGTAGTTTATATCCCAACTCAATGTGTACGGTTTTACTATAGTTGACACCGTTTTGATTAAGATTGACAATGTATAAAACTCTCACAATTCATAAAAATTCATAGTAACAAACACTATCCTCTGGTCAGCAGATTATTATGGTACCCCTGACAGACATAAATGTCAACTGCATTACTATACTGTAAACATGCGAATTACTGCTTGTAAAAATGGAAGCGATGGAATGTGTAATAGATGTGCAGGAATGCCCTTACTATAAAGTATGTGTCATCCTCAATACTCCAGGAGTTGCGACCACTTTCGTCCTCTGCTCCCATGAAACAAGTCATGGCAAAATTGAAGGGTCTTTGTGCGGCATCTTGTGGAAAAGACGAAAAGACTGGTTTGATAATTTACTATACATGGAACAAATAATGAGTTCTCATATAGGTATATTGTTATGGCTTTGAAGTAGTGTCTTTCCTTTATAATTGTCAAGAGGAGCGTTCCAGGCATGCAGGGAGCGAAATTGATCGTAACCCCTGGGGTATAGAGGATGATACTGTGAAGTAACAATGGTAAATTGTTATTGTGTGAACTCGGGAAAATGTTTACATATGCTGGATTGATCAGAAGATGTAACAGATGTTGATGGGCAACAGACAAGAGGTAACAATAATGACACGTAGAGGATGAAGAGTTCAGCGTGAAATATACATGTTGTCCATTCCTTTAAACGTACGTGTTTGTAGTATTGATGGAAACGAAGCGGCCAAACAACATCTTGTGGCGTACTTTTCATTGCTTGTAATGTACGTTTCTAAAAGACGTGCTTGCTTATTTTCTGTTGTTCTACTGTTTCTTTTCGTTTTTGGATTGCAGGAAAACCTTACACACGTTGTGTTAAAGAGCTTTGCTTATAGTAGTCATTGCGTTAATGAACCGTATTTGCTGGCTGTAAATGGTAAGCGAATCGTTAGTTTCGTTAAATGACATGTATCATCAGCTATCTAGCAGTATTTATCCTTATGATAGATAGTTACTGTGTATGAGTGATTACGAAAATTAAGATTTGCTACATTCTTTCTTTGAAATATATGCAAACGCGCAGTTAAGAAGAATGATGACACAAACTCTAGAGAAAAATAAAACAAAACATAAATGTGAAACAAAGAAAATATTGTGTTAAAAATGATCAAACGTAATTGCTCTAAAATGTTCATATATATATATATCTTTAGCATTAGAGATAAATAAATAGTTTGTTGTTTTGCAGGCAAATATAAGGAAGTTGTTAACTGGGATACCGGTATTCTCGGGGAATCCAATCACAAAGGAAATAAATGTCCGAAACGTGGAGATATTAGCGACTGGACTTTGAAATGTAAATACATTTGTAAGGAAATACAGCTGACCACTACGAAAAATCGACGCGTCCAGCTAGTTCCCATTTGTGATTCTACCAGGGGATACTTGGTCCAGGAAAGAACAGACAACATAAACAGTGTTCCTCTACTTCAGTTCCGACATCCGTGTGTCAAATCGTTTTTACTTCACAACTGTTCCAGCCGTCATCCCGTACCTAATATCATACACTATGTCTGGTATGGTATGCGGCCTATGAGGTTTTACCATTTCCTTAGTGTGTATAGCTCGTTCAAAATGCAAAAGCCGTGTGTGATATTTATACACGGAGATTTTATGCCATTTGGGGAATATTGGAATCTTCTTCTGATGATTGTGCCTAACATTTTATTTCTGCAACAAAGCCCACCAGCGACGATCGCAAATAGGACTATTGGACACATCGAGCACAAAGCTGATATCACAAGGCTTATGGTACTTAAAGGTAAATATCATATTTATACTTCATTTACCAGTTTATTGACGAATCAAATGAAGAATGGTCTGCAGTTGATTGTCACGTTATTCCTTGAGAATATTCTTGTCTTCGCATTACTCAAGTCACTGTTTTCCACAAATTCGCTTCCTCCGTAGAGACTGCCATGATACAAATGGATAACGTTATGATTTAACTGACAAAGTGCGCCATTATTTCCATATCTTTTGTTCGTTCTGTGCCAGCGCTGGCCTACTAACATGCGCTTCGGAAGACGATTCAAGATTTGCTGAGTCAGCAAATTCCAACTATAAGTAGAACTGCAATCACGAGCAATAGCGGAAGTCACCACAATCTCCACAATTGGTATTTAACACGACCTGGCCATTCTTATGAAATAGTTTGTAGCGTCCAAATACACCTACATACAAAATGTCATAGATATCGGACGATATTTGGAATTTGGCTGATCAAAGGCGGCAATTGGCAGCAATTTTGTTAACAGATGAAACCGAGTTAATGAAAATGACCGGTGTCCCACTATTACCCCACATACCAAATGTCACGGAATCCCAACGATACTTGGATTTCGATAACTCAGAGACCCGACTTCGTTGTGGTGACTTTATAGCAAGTAGGATATTCAATAATTGTGAAAAGGTCAACAAAGGACTTGTAAACGTAATTGTGTGAATGTGTGGCCAATCTCAAAACGATCACAGCGTTTGGTTTGGTTTACTTAAGTATTAATCTACATTTTCAAGAAGCTCTTTCTGACGGCTACTTCCGTACTCAATTCTATTTTGCAAGCAGGACAGAAGAATTGTAAGTGCAACCCCCATTTCATGATAATAAGAGTACACTTGTGACCGTGGGGTCATAATCTTTTCTCTTCATCCTAAATAGGTACTGAATGTTCTCTACTTGATTTTCAGAGATCCCGTGTATTGTATAGAGGGATAGCAAGTTCTCTATAAAACGTGACATGCTTCCATTTCGGGTTCTAGTATTTCAGAATACAAGTCTTTCAAACCATCCTTAACTGGTCTAATCATCACCTTTAGCACTTAATGTTTGAAAAAAATCACCAGGTCATACAAGAGATTTGTTTGCAAAATCATGGTCTGTAACGTTTGTTAAGGACCGAGTAACTTTCACGTTTTCGTGATTATCACGATTTGAACGATTACGAAATTTAAAACAAAGATATGTTTTGACGGCTAATATGTATCTATGCTATGCTATGGCATGGCAAAATACCCTTGCGTGGTAATCAAATTAATTTGCATCAATGCCATTATTGATGTTGATTAATTCACGTTATCTGATTGGTCGGACTGGGCACACGTCATCAGTGCTAATACACCTGGAACAGACATTTATATTGACAAAAGTTAACAAAAGGATTATTAACTGTCTAAACAAGTTCTGTTATCGATGATAAATACTCTAAAGCGATTAATATTTCTCCGTTTAGTTACTTTTAAAAGTAAATGTGTTAAATAGATGTCACACTTATGTCATCTTCATGAAGGCTCCAGTTAAACAGAATAGCAAATAAAAAAACAATAAGCCCTTAAACATCAATGACGAGGCCTGACAGGACAATTTAGCTGCTTAATGTCAGGTATTTAAGTTTCAGATTTCCAATTGTAAGTGCAAAACAGTTCTGCATTTGTCTGATCATATTCATAATACCAATGGGAATATTAACAATGGAATTCTGCATTCGTTGGAGAAGTGTTGTTCAAACTGACAACAGTGTAGTTAATTAAATGAAACTCGTAAATTTTACGAACATTTCAGTCAACTTATGGTCGGCGAATGTCATATGTTACTACATATGGTACGGAGTATTATTGTGGAATAGATTCAATACTGATTTATTATGACGATCGACTGCCCATTCATAATAGACATACAATATACATATATGGATGTATATTTCAAATGAACCGCTAAATGTTTTAATAAATTATTCAATGAGGATGACATATAATTTTACGTTCATTTCTGGCATCTTAGATTCATAAGTTAAAACGTTACCATTAATGCTGTTGTTTTTTTTTCATACAAGGAGTCGTCAACCAATGGACAAACTCATAACATATAGTTTCCGAGCTTACTCCCTTTGCATTTTTTCAGGAATGTCCGTGCAACTATTTCTGTTGTTGATATTTTGCCATTGTGTGCTTAAATTTGAGAATTGTTATTAATATGTAGATATATTGTCATTTTGTTGTTAAAAAGCGAACAATTTCGTTCGAAAGGAACTATTTCCTCGCTTGCTGGAATAAATTGTCTAAATGTCATAAATGAAATTGTGCAGTAGCCCCCCTTTATCAAAATTTGGTAAAAATAAAACAAGAACCTATCTGTTGAGCTTTACAAACAAACATCTTAACTTCAATGTTGATCTTTATGCAGTGAATCATTTGGAAAATATGAAAATATGATATTATCAAACATGTACATGTATCGTGTACACGGTTTCTTTCAGAGTATGGAGGTATATACATGGATACAGACGAGGTGCTACTGAGGACCTTGGATCCTCTGAGACGACACAACTTCACATTAAGCAGAGCTTTCAGTTTCAATCTCAGTAATGGTTTGATACTTTCCACTAGGAACGCGACTTTTCTCAACATTTGGATAACAGCTTACAAAACTTATGATCCGCACAGGTGGGGCTTTCATTCTACTATTGTGCCTTCAAGACTATCGAAAGTTCATCCGAGGTTGATTCATATTGAAAACAAAACATTTGTTCGGCCAGATGCCTCACATAAAGATGATTTATTTTACAATAATTTTGATTGGTCGAAGAACTACGCTATACATTTGTTTATGCGCTTTTACAAGCAGGTGTATAGCGTAACGTCAATCAGAACACTTAACTGTACTATTGGCGCAGTAGCTCGATTTGTCTTGTTTGGCCACAAGGAACTGTGTGTTGAATAAAAAGCTAATGCCAACTGATTCTTATAGAACTTAAACCAATTATACTCTGGAAGTCTAAAACAATTGCAGAAATTTATTTTCTTCCCTGGTTAAAATGTTCACGTGTTAATTGAAGGCAAGGATGAATATATTCTTGGAGGACCGATATATGCTGATCGTTGAAACACTATCATATGAATTTTTGTGTATCATTTCGGAACCCTTTTGCATGTCAAGAAAGTGTATGTAGTTCAATGTAGATATTCTCAGTGTTCCGAATGATAACTGATATAAAATAACCTTGACAAATACATATGCAAGTCTGACCACTCGCACACTGATATAGTTTCGAGAAATAGACATTGATGTTAACGTTACTCAACAGAATTGGAAGTCTTTGGTATGTTTTGGTACTCGCTTCTCTGACGACGGCCATAGCAACACATAACACAAAAAAGCACGGAGATGCAGTATTGATACTATATACTCAAAATCCAGGGACAACAACCTACTTAACAGGCTCAGAACCTTGCTCTCGGGATACCCAACCCGATAAACAGAACATAACTGCATTCACAAAGAAGAATAGATGGGCTGTCGGATAGGTATTCGCATTACGTAAATTGAACACAAAACATTTGTATGCATTTGTGCGAAAGTATTGTTCATTTCATTTGACATAAATTTATGTCACTATCGTCAACCCGTTCACAACAGATGTGTCGCAAATATCGTGACTTCATCAATACATGCATGCCCTACATTGTATATTTTGCATTAACAAGTTAATCAGTGCAGTTTCTGAGAGCAACAATATTCATGTAATATGTTTACTATGCAGAATCAATAATGAGATGGTTTGTCTTGTCCTTAATTTCAGTTAGTTGGTGTTTCGTGTACTAGATAAAGATGAACGATTTAAATTTATACATTAAACATTAGTGCCCTTTTGCGTCCATTATTAATTTATCCCTTATTATTATGGATTAGTCATATCAGATGTGATAATTTAAAATTTCTTTTCGATCATAAGGAATGATCTTTTTATGTCTACGTAGAAAAAAACAGGATTTTCCTTATTTTCCATTCCCGTTAAGCAACATCCCTGTATCTACAATCTATGCTATTTACATGTTACAGTGGATTCGATAGTCATGGGACTGTTCCCATTATCACGATCGTGCAAGAAGTCGTCAACTCACGGACAAACTCGTAACACAGTGGTTCAAAAGATGGAGGTTGATGAAAATTATGGGAAAGTTTCATGATCGCCATAGTGATCTCATTAAAATGTTCTATTTCCTTTTGTGATATAAAGCTGGATGTGTTTGCTGCTCGTCAGTTTGCCTGATTTTCCCGTTGTTGTATAGCTTGTTGTCATTTGAGATCGTAACATAACTTACTAGGATTGACAAAGGTTAACATGGCGGGTGTCGTCGATGAAGCAAAATACTCTTATTCTTCCGAAACACCTGGTCTTACTTTCCTTGCCCTTTTATATTGCTTTGTTTTTGTTCATCAACATTGGGTAAGCAAACTATAACCGAATGAAGAACTGTCTTTGTAAACGTTAAAAGTTCAAAGGCTATAGGGAACTTTTAAGTGTTAAATATATTGTGTTATAACCCAAACATACAACAACGGCATAATTATGATCTTAACATAGTTTAATGATTAAATTTCATATAGCACAGTAAACAATGTGGCGTTTTCAAACAAATATCGACACTAACGACACATTAGACTTCTGTTGTTAAGTCAGAAGAAAAAAAATAACAATTTACAAAATATGTGCAAAATAAAATGGAATGGAATGTTCATTTATTTATTGATTTACTATTTGTCGTATTCATTGTCATTGCATATCTGATGCAATAAAACGAAATCGATTGTATACAGAATGTAACATATTCTAAAACCACCCATCGAAAATACATGTGGATTTTGGGCGAACTTCTTCTTTCAAGGACGGATTTTTCATTCTACAACAAAGAACAAAGAAAACATGTAATGATAGTCAATAGACACGAATAATATAAATCAACATCACACACTTTTATAAGTTAGTAATGATGCGACTATCATATGATAGACAACGAAGATTTGATTTACATTTGCATCGTCAACAATATTATAACATTACCAGAATATAATGTTTGACGGACTTACTAAATTTTATCTTTAGTATAAATATGTTCGAAAAAGAGTGGAGTGGAAAGCGGTTTCCAACACGTCTAAAACGAATCTTATCCCTCAAAGTCAAATTATGATTTAATGACTGAATAAGTTTACGCATACAGTGTTTCAAATATTTACCTCTTCCCTGGCACAAGCTATGGCCTTGCTATGCATATGCAGCGATTGTAGTCAAATTTTTGACCTATTGCACAGCTGAATTCAACCCATCCAATCCCAAAAAGCAAGAAGCGAAAATAGTTGTCACCAATAGCAGATGGAAGAAAAGGACAATCTATTTGTTTTAAAAAAAAGGAAAATAAAACAAGCAGACGGTTAGTATTTATAACACATTTGTGACTTTTTATGAATTACGTGAAAGATAGTTTCTTTGTTAGTAGCTTAATGATATATATATTCAATTGCCTATAAATTTTAGTTTCATATGTATTGTTCCATTTACAACTGTTTTTAAATGTACTTTTTAGACGTTAAATCTTAATACAGTGTATGACTTAGTTATAATCAAAATGATGTACTTGGGCAGTATTATTGTGCAATGGAATTATATTTGGAAGGAACTGTACTAACGGAAAGATAGGACAAAATTTATTTCGCTAATTTAACCTGTGGAAGAAAACCCTCGGCTTGAACGAATTTCGAAATGTTTGGATATAAGAAATAATAAATGGTAATTTGTCTGAGAGGATCAGCTGGTTCATTAGTATTAGGTGATAGTCTGGCGGAATGTTAATGATGGCACAAGTAATAACAGCACAACACATTAAGCCTTGGTCTCTGACAATATTTGCTGAATTTCAATGCAAAATATTCACACTTCCGAAAACAGAATATAACAATATGTGAGTAAAGAGATACATGAAATGCGGCTACAATTAATAAAGCATACATTTACGTAAGTACTTAAAAATAATTTTAAAACGTTTTCCATTACCTGTGTTGATAGTCAGTTGTGTGGTTGTAACTGAAACAGAAAACAACACGAGTTCAAGAAAGATATGGATATAGGTTTTGCTGAAGATGACCAAGTGAGAGGTAAACAGAATACCCCCCCCCCCCACCTCCATGCAAAATGTAGCATCAATACCTTTTTCATCTATACAGCTACATGCAGTAATGTCAAATTCTTGTCCTATGTTACACGAGAAATACATATATTGGCCTGGCATCCATGTCATTTGTGTCCTAAACTCCCGCTTCTGACCAGGTACTAGTTCGTAAATGCAATCTGCAATGACATGCAAACATAAGATAAGTAAAACATTACTTCCGTAGTTACCACCAAAACAATAAGATAAAGAGATAATCACTGCTTAGGGAATAGCTAACCATAAACTTATTAAATTGATCAAATTTAACGAGACTTTGATATTTAATAAATGAAGGGAATGTTAACATGTAACACTAAGGCAAAATGAGGTTAATATCCAGAAAATTAATTATTTCTAACCAAAATTAGCAACGGATCTTAAAGAGTTAACATGAAACAATTAACAGTCTTTTTTTTAGCAAGAGAAAATACCTTTGTTAGTCACCGCCGGCGCTGTCGTAGTCGACGGTGTCTCTGTGGTGATGGTGGTAGGTGTGGTAGATTTTTCTGCACAAGTCAATGTTCAATTCCATTTATATTTTCTATTCATAACAAGACTTTACTTATAAGTCAAAACCAATACAGTGGCAATATGAACTGAATCATGCTTTTGGACTGTTATGATTTATTCATAGTCATTAATGTTTTGGTTAAAGTTTACTTAAATTTTGCTGTTTTTGCATCAGAAAATTTACTTCTTTGCTATTAAAAACAAAATACCTTCATTGGTTACCGTAAGTACGGTCGCAGTTGGCGGTGTTTCTGCTGTGGTAGATGGCATGGATGTTGCTTCATTTGTTACTGTTAAAATACATTTAGTTTTTTCATTTCATAAATACATTCATATCTAAATCTTAAAAGGACCACAGCAATGCTTCTTTTCCTTTTATTGAAACAGACATCACGATCATAACCTGAGAAGGTGATTACAAGAAAACATATAAATAATCACACTCCAAGTTGACAGACTAATGAAGATACCATTGATTTCATTAATTCAAAACCTTTCCACAAATATTTAATCTTAATCAATCTAACTCTCCCGAAACAATGTGATGCAAATACAAATCTGTCAAAAGTTGCTTTAAAAACCTAGCTTACAGTTTTAGACTGGATTTTAACAAGACGTTTTGATTAATGCCTTATATACCTGTCGTTGGCTGAGGTGTTGTCTTTAGTGGTGTGGACTTGTCAATAATTACAGTATCTGTAAAAGGAGAACATTAACACTGGGAATTTTATAAGGAAGTGCGTATAGGATTTATTGTTGACAATATCCTTAAAACCGGTACCTAAACCACCATCAAGTAATTCATGTTACATACACACCAATGACGGCTAAATAACTGGGACCATATGTATATATAGTAAAGTTGTTTTCTCGGTCGATGACAATGGTCGTTGCAACTATTTATATAACAGTTCTGATATATATCCGTTGAGATGGCTCTAATCAAACTGCTCGTGCTTGTTTACATTATCCCGTAAATAAAAAGACACAATTATATAAATAAATTACACATCATTGAATTATAGTAATATAAATTTCGGTCGGAATGAAAATCTTCATCGACGTACATGAATGCATTTCAAAGTTGTAGGTTTATTTAACACAACATTACCATTCTTCATCATTCTAATTAACCCAGGTCGTTATATGACATACCTTTATCAATACACTTGCATAGAGCGGAAATAAACCGGTCAGTTCCGGAACAGTCGTGATAAACCAGACCAATGCCGATGACATGTTCCACGAATCCGTTTCCTCTAGCTTCAAATGCACAATCTATGATATCACGAAACACATTTGTAAACTAAATTATAAAAGTTGCTGTTAACTGGTAGACACAAGTAGCTTAAGTAATGTACGTCATTGAGGACTTTGGAAATATTAGACAATGACTGTGATCCTTTCTGAACTAGCGATAAATCACATTACTGTGAGATTCTCCTTTTTTTGCATTTTACCATTGTTTTACTTGTCAAGACAAGACCTGAGTACGGTAAGAAATGGTAAAAAATAACAAAAGTTCATATCAAATTATTTTACTTAATGTGTGTTTGAACCCGATGTTTGCATTACTATAATAATTAGGAAGTTCTGTTCCGTCAAAGTAAATTATGAGGATATGATGTAACGGTTAGTCACCGAGGCTTGGCTGGTTAAATATTTAGATATTTAGGAAGGAGAAGGGAGGATGATAGATATAAATCACGTCATATATGTATGCAGGTGTATAGCTTAATGTTTTGAATATATCGAATTTCGTCTTAGGTTTTATTGAACTTATATACAAGACGTATACTCACTTTGCACTCGGTTTTGGTCTGTTATGGTGACGACATCATAGTTTTTACCAGATCCAGGAGCTTAACAAAACAGAAATTAGATATTTTCCTGTTTACTTTCATTCAAGAATGAAAACATATTTACCTTAATACCTTATCAAAGTTTACCATGAAGCTTTATTATTCTCCATTTGTAAAAATCAAAGAACAGAGTATGTAATTGAGGTCACCATTAGAAAAAAATGAAAAGACTGATTGTATGAAACCATCAAATACATTATTATTATAATAAAGGTTTATCGTTTACTGAATGTATTGAATGTTAACTACATAACTTGTGAAGCATAACAAAATTGCTTAAGTGCGAAGACCATGGGAACACTTTTGTACACTGTTACATAAAAAGTCGGTTTTGTTTATAGGAATCAGCTTAATAATTAGGTGAAAAGCTACCTCCACATGCACACAGTGATGCATAAAAGACTTGTGTGGACGGGCAATCACTATAAACAGCTCCTATGCCAGGTATGTTTTCTATAAATCCATTTCCTCTTGCTTCGAATTGACAGTCTGTCGAATAAAGTGGAAAATAAAATAACTATTTACTCAAGATATCCAAACAGAAACAAAATTGATCTTAATTAATAATCCATTACAATGACTGAAAATAACTATTACCTGAAGATATAACTATATAAACGTGTAATTCAAGATAGAAGTAGTTTACCTGCATTAGGGTTTTTGGTATTAGGAGCTCCACCTGAAAATGGAATTGAAATGCAATCAATACTCAGATAGATATGTTGTTCATCCCGACATATAAACACAGGTTTATATTTGCAAGACTTTGATGCCGTGCTTCGCTTTTTGTATATACCAATAATTGTTATGTCTTGTCCTTGTCTGTAGTTAAGGTTGTATGTAGTGATTTTCTTTCGTTCAAGACTTACCATATTTGCATTGATTTTTCAATCCAAATGTTGGATATCTTACACGCCTTAAATATTAATAGGTAATACAATTAAGATTTTAGATAAAAAAAATTGACATATCAACATATTGACCCGAAAGATAAGTATGATTTGCCTATAGACTAGAACGTGGTTACTTCGTTAAGAACGTACATTTCTATTTGTCTATAGCTATTTACAGAAAAGACATTCTACATTTAAGATATTGAACAGCATCAGATTTGTATTCTGTAAACATAGTTAGAATTCAAGGAAATCAGCAAATTGTACTCAACGTCTCTATCGAGATTAAGTTTGTAACGAAGCTTTACAGGACAAGACCGAAAAGGTAAGTTAAAGAAATAGATTTCTGAACCTCCATGTGAAATCAAAGGCTATAAACGTTAACTGATAATGTTAATGCTGTTATGATGCTGTTGTATTTATAATTCATTTGACATCAAATATTCTAAATATTTTTGTGGTACACATACCGTTTGGAACACAGTCACATTCCGCGATGCTGAATTCTTGTGTAGAAGAACATTCAAAGAAAACCCAGTCGTTCAAAGATTCAAAGTATTCAAGATATCCTCTTCCTGATTTCATTCGATCTTTACATTCTGAAAATAACAACAATTGCATTAGCAGTAGTAATGTTGGTTTAGAATGATCATTAAAAATATTCTCCTATTTTCAGTAAAATAGTATTTACTGTTCGATGTATGTAGCTTAATCAAAAGACAACAAGCCGAGTCAGAATATGCCAGATACGATTATGGTATATATATATATATATATATATATATATAATATTTCGCATTACATATATAGAATAGATCATGCTTATTGATTTAAATCAACTTACGCAATCCATCAGTGGTTGATGTGCTAGAAACACTTTCATAAGTTACCGAAGTATCTGTTATAAAATCAAAAGAAAAAAATCGACGTGAAAGCATCTAATTTATCTGATATCACCCTATTACCATTCAAGATGGATTTTGTACTTAAACTGTCAATATTGTCAAAATAAGTGTGTTTTTTTAGATTTTATTTTTTAAATTCACTAAAATAAAAGACATTTTTGTACCATTTACCATCTTTCATATTTGTTGATATCACACATAGAATGTTTATATAATTTGAGTTGTCGTCTTAGTAGAACATTAACTAAGGTACTTCGAAAGGCATATTTTGCCATTCATTATTAGAAGTACACATACCCGTTCCCGTGACCGCTGTAGGCGTGTGTGCGGTAGACTTCGGACGGTCATTGCTGGTTGTTTCGTCAATGATCGTGATATCTGGGTTGGAAAGAATTTATTTTGCATGAAATTTTCTTCATGTATGTAGTCCGTATATGCATATCATGACCAACTGGATAACATTATTATGTACACGCTAATCCAGCACTATCAAAAGCATGGATTGTATTTTCATTTCGTCATAACAAAATATTATTTATGCAATCAAATATAACGAAAGAAAAGAGTGAATGAAATCACCCTCAAAGGATGACGTTTGAATTGTTTTATGGTGAGGCAAACATCAAACTAAAACTAAAACAACCTTTGGATTAGACGTTCCTATAAAACAATCAATACGAGATTTAAAAGTGACGTTTCAGTGACACTACTGTCACCTTCTTTAGACCAAAAGGCAGCGTAAAGCGCATTAGCACTGAAGAATTGAGTGTAGGAGGAAGAATGGAACTAATGTGATGAACAGGAGTATATCAAGTAAAGCGCGAATCAACAGGAAGTATTGGTAAGATCGCAGGTTTTTAAGAATCTCTGTTGTTATGTATCAAGTCCTACAAGCCGCTCTGACTAATAAGGGGACCAGTATTTTATTTGCTTCATCAGAAGTCAATCAAACCATCATCACTTCTAAAACTTTTTTAAAAAAGAAGAAAAAGAAAACGATACAAACAAATATGAATATCAGTTTAAAAATAATTACTGCAAGATCTTGTTTCACAAGCAAAAGCAAGCAATTTTTTTAAAATTTCATTAATATCGATTACCTTTGGATATTTATTGTCTTTCAAACAAGTCAGATATACCAACACATATTTCATTTTAATACAAGCTTTATTTATCATTGATTTATCATTTGTATGATTGATAAACAGAGAAAATTGATGTTCTACCTTGATCGAGGCACCGACAGAGTCCAGTAACAAATCTGTGGTTATTGAGACATGTATAGAATACTTTCCCAACCTTCGGAACGTATTCCGTATATCCACTTCCCTGTGCCTCGAACTCACAATCTACAAACAAAAACAAACATATCAGAACAGTGATAAACAACAACAGAAAGATAGTGATTCTTCAGTAGTTTTTCCGGAACCAATTCCTTATTTTTAAATATTTACTTTACTCATATGTATTGGATAAGTTTTAATGTTATAAATGCATATGCAAATTTGCTTAACTAATGACCGATTCCGTGTCGATTAAAGAAAACGTCAAGTACTCTATAGATGTGATCAAGTTTATCAAATATTGCCATATTGAACTAAACCTGCCACATTTTATGTGATAAAACTTACCAACTTTGTTGGTATCTGTAATCCGGATTATGCTATTGCTTCCTCCCGTATTACCTGTGCCTCCAGAACCTTAAAAGTCAAATGTTATTACTGAAGTTTAAGACGGAATGATAATAAAGTTGTCAGACATATACCAATAATAACATATTCTTGTGACTGTTCTTCAAATAAAATTTATTGGGATTTACTTATATCTTTAGAAATTGTGGCAACTGCCTCTTTTGTCACATTTATCATAATTAAATTTTTACTCACCTGTACAGTCGCATTTTCTAAGGCTAAAAATCTGGTTTGGAGGGCAGTTGTTATAAACGGCTCCAACATTTTCAATGTGTTCAATGTATCCCGTTCCTTTCACCTCAAAATTTGTGCAATCTAGATAAAAACAATATAGATGCTATTCATGGCAACGTATACCTGGAACAGCTAAGAACTTTACAACTTGAGAAAGAAACCAAGCTACAATTACCTTGCAAGAGGAAAGCCAGAGTAATATGATAAAAGAATGGTGATTTTTGATACAATATTAACTGAATTCTTGAATATTCATACCAAACTAATGAATTATCGGAATAATAATTGATGATAACCGAAGACATATACCAAGACATTTGCAAATGAATCTGCTTTAACCACATTAACAATAGTTGGTAATGATAAAATCAATTTTAATAAGCAGATTATTTACATGACAAAACCACAGGATATGGAGAATAAAGACATTACGTAATCTTGATGACTCAATGCTCTATTAAAATTATAAGAGGCATTTTTGAGTTAAGATCTATATAGGACGATATACGACAACACAGAAAATGGTTCCACGAACTAATCTCATTTGATTCCTAACACGTTGTAATTTCATAATAAATGGCTTCCCATCACAAAGTCTATCTAATGTCTTTTGTACAGATAACCACGCAAATCCCCCATCGCCGACAAAGTTATTATCTTCATTGCTTAATGTTGATAAAGATGAAGCGTTGCCTGCGTCAAACTTTATTATAATGGCTTATACTAACCTTTGGGTGGTCCGGGCGGAGGAATTGGGTTTGTCCCTACAATAAACATATTAATACGATTATAGCAATTATGTTAACAGAGCAGCATACATCTATCATCTGAAGATTATGAGGTATTCGAGTTTAAAAAAAATAAAAATAAAAAAAAAAATAAATAAATTTCTGAATAAATCTTTTAAGTAATTTCTATAAAGAATTTTTCCATTCATATGCTAATGTTAATTATTATTTATATTGTTTGGTATTAAATGACATTTTCTACAAACCCATTCAATCTGGTTGCGAGAAAGGAACATACAAGTATCCAGTGGCAGAATTGCCTTCATAATTGATCGGCCATTGCGAATCCTTGGTTTTCAAGGAAGGGAAATAACTTTAACTTCCTCGGATGAGTACAAGTTAAAATAATACTACCTGTCCATCACGCGATACACCGATCACTGTTTTTAATCCGTGAAAATCAATATTTGCAATATTCATTGCTAGTTACATGCAACTTCCTTTTCCTTATTTTTTTTTCTAACTTACTTTCAGCATGGCTTTCACAGAACATATAGCTATAGTATATATTAAGCAAATTACCTGGATCAACACAATCACAATGGCTAAGTCTAAACACCCATGATGGGGAACATTCATAAAACACCCAATCCATGATGACGTCATTATATTCTTTGTAACCGTTGGCCTCTTTTATACGGTTATTACAACCTGTGAAAAAGTGTAAATATCCAATAATGACCATAGATTTGCCAGGAATTAATCTAATACATTGACTGATTCAATTATCATATATCTTTGTTATCCGCTAAAGAAATATTTTGCAGCTGAGCTAAATGTATTATAGACGTCTGTTGTTGGCGTGTAATATAACACATAAAACTATTAACTGTTACTTTGCATAAACAGTAAAACAATGCACATTTAATCATTTAAAGTTTTCTTAAGTTTTATAACAGTTACAGTTATAATACATTGAACTTACGTGTAGGTTCCACAGTGGTGCTACGTGTGGTGGAGGAAGTTGTACTGGTATCGGTGGTAGTGGTGGATATTTCTTTATAAAACGATTGTACAAAGATGAGATCACGCTTATGTTAAAACTGACTCTCATTGTCGTTTTTACCAAATACTATGTATAATATAATGATTATTATATTTCAAAAAACATAGGAAAGGTAAATAATATATTAATAAAACCCGTCTATTTATTGAGCTTCAAAACATCTATTCAATCAGTTAATTTTGTATTACGTAAAACGAAAAGGTTAGCTACACACCTTTAGTTGTAGGGTCGGTTTCTGTGACGTATTCTGAAGAAATAAAACACATGTTAATCACTTAATTTGTCAGCAATACATAGAATACACATCTATGAAATAACAAAAATACTTTTATATATATTGCATTGAAATTAAAACCAATTGTATATTGTGACTTTGCTGAAAGGTATAAAATTTTTGAAATATTTCTTAAATACACGAATACTTATTCTCTATTCTTAAAAGTATAGATCTAGTTTTTTTTAGGTTTCGTGATTTTGAAACACTTCCTTTACAAAAATCGAAATTAAACAGCAAGGGCGTGATCGCTTCGCAATAAAGGCATCTTTCAATGAATAATTCTTTCTCTCTCTGAGAATACTGATATTAGGTATGAACTGGCCTACCTTTCGAAACACACTGACAAGCAGCATTCATGAAAAGTTGATCATTTCCACAGCTGTTCCATACTTGTCCTAAACCTGGGATGTCCTCTACATATCCCGTTCCCTGTCTCTTATATGGGCAAACTAGAACAAATGAAGCATCAAATATGATAAACAAGGACTGTGGGACGAAGAATTAAATTGTTTCCTATCCCAGCATTGCAAATTACATCCCCTCCGGAGTTTATCCGCATGTGTGTACAAATGTACTTGTTAGTCTCTTCGAATCTTGGACATTGACAATTCGTTAGAAATGTTTACCCAACACGTATAACAAACTAATACGAAACATAGGTTAAATGACCACAAGACATACCATTGGATACAACTGTAACCTACAAGTTGTCTTATGCATAACATTTGGATGGTTTTACTGAACGTGACTATGTAGATCTATTTACCGAATTTTGTGGTGGGAATTGTTGATGCTCCTACAAATAAGCAAAAAGACAAATTAATGAGGTAGTAACAAAATATCTAACAACAATATACACATCAACATTATTATCATGAAAATATAATTTGAAATAAAACACGTTATTATCGCGTCTCTACTATCCTCCACGATACGCTACAATATATTGTAAAGAGACATGTTTCTGATGCCTTTAACATCGTTCATCACCAGCCCACCTGATGTTGATAGTACACATATGCAGGCAGCCATAGACATCATGTGTATGTCTTTAATTCATTCATTTAGCGCGTCACTTTAAATCTCACATCCATGACGATTGATAAATAAGTTATAAATAATAAATCCAATTTTCATTTCTTATCAAACTTTCGGAATGATTAGTATTAGGATTCATTCATCGTTGTGTATACTGAGGTGCAAACGTATATATATTTATATCTAACATAGATCGTTTCCAAAAAATAAAACAGTGATCACCATCAAATTATTTGGTCGTCTTATTGAATAAGATAAGAAAGTGTAGTGTGCTGACATAAGTGCTATTCTTTAGTTAAATGAATATCGTCTTTTTCACTTTAGCATATTTGTATTTCAGAAATATAATGTTCAAACATATAAAGCTTTTAATTTTTTTTATCTTAACTAACAACCAATATCGTTTAATGATATGGTCTTCCTCTGATGTTTGCTGCCATCAGCGAGCTCCTTAGCACAAGTTATTTCCCGATCATCAATATGATTACTATTGTTATTGGCGAATAAAGCTCATTAGTAATAGGGTTTAGCGATTTTCCTCTTTTATTGATAATGATGAAATGAAGTAAGAAATCATTTATCTGCAGAGTGATGACAGGTAAATGATAAGTAGGTCTTGATTATAGATCACAAATATAACATTCTATCTAAACTAAGATATTTAACATTGTAAAATACACTTTGGACCTTATATAGAGATATATATCTGTATGTACTTTTTGCTTTAGAAGATTTCATCAGTCCATAATCATTAGATGGTATATCATCGTTTTCCATGTTGTTCTGTGATATCTTCTTCCATTATAACACCCTGTAAGATGACATTGATGCCATCATATCAAACAATCCACTTACAACGCAAGACAATATTTGCTATCGTTACCGATATCGTATGAAAAAATAGTCTCTCGACATGGTTCCCTTGACGACGAGAGAAATCAAGCAAATAACGTGACTCAAATTTTATCTCTCTTGAGGACAAATATCTTGTATATGAAGGAATAGTCATTTTACCCTTTTTGATACAACCACAGCTGGACGCGCTGAAGACCAGTCCACTTCCACATTCACTGTAGATATCACCGAATCCAGGAACGTTCTCTATAAAACCATGTCCATCAGCTTTGTATGGACAGGCTATTTAAAATGGAATAAACATTTAATGAACACTTTACAACGATAAAATTGAAAAACCAAAAATATACATTAATAAAAAAAAAAAAAAAAAAAGATCGTAAACATCAATAAACAGGCTATTATATTTTTAACAGTTAATAATCTTCGCGGTACAGACGACTTTTAAAGAAACTCTTGAACAGAAACCAAGTTTAAGTGCTGTAAATAAAAGTCAGTGAGATATTGTTTTGAAAACTAAAATAATGTGCGCTGATGATTAACAATATTGTGAAAGTACACGCTTATGTTATAACTAGAAGAAAAGTATCAGCTATCTCATTCAGGTTGTCAGTTCCACAAATAGTTTACAATTAAAAAAGAAAACAAATGAAAATGTTGGGGTCTATTAATATTATGGAACGGTTATTTGATAAGCAAAAGTAATACAAGGCCACAAAGACGAACAATGGACAATATTACTTGGATATTGACAAAAGTCTACTATTTGTGCTAGCGGTATGATTCATTGAGGCCAGTCCCGTGTACATGCCATTAGTATTGTAAACACGGCGATCTAAAAAGAGATACACATCTACGAGCCAGCACAAGGTAGCCTCTGGGTACCGACTCAACATAGGTAAATGTTGGGAATGTGTAGTGTGATGTTTATTTCTCAGCCCCAGGAGATTATCCTTATCAGCTAGCATTGTTACAGGGATCTCATTTGTTATGGTGTTAAGTCATTATAGTTGTGGGCACAAAATTGCGTCGACTTTATCTTGTGTAATGTTAAAGAATTGATCTAAAATATGTAAAACTAATTCTCTCTCTTGAACTCTGATCTAAGTTTGAGAGATACATATTAAATTATTTCTAATCGGCTTAAGGACCTAATAACTGCTGTGATATGCATCTTTCTTCCATTGCTTTCAACATTAAAGGCACAAAAATATTTTAAGAATATATTTTTCATAACTGAAGTGTAAAAAGATTTGAGAAATGTAAAGAAAACAAAACGTTTACCAAATGTCCGTCTTACATTCGAGAACGGCAGCAAGTTTGAAAAAACAAAAATTGACATATGTACTTATGCTTACATTTTGTAAGTGACAAATCATTGCGATAACCTGTCAGTATTCCAATAAACAATATGTTTGATCGTCTAATGATTACATATGTCGCTTTCAAATACAGATCACATTTTTACAATAATTTCAGCTCTCTTTAAAAAGCATTATTTTAAGGTACATCAACCTAATTACCCTTATCTTTGTATGTTTATATACCTGGCGTCGTGGAGACAGTTGACGTCGGAACAGTGACGGATGTTACACTTTTGGTTGTGGGCATTGCTGTGGTAGGTTGTTGAGTATTAGATGTTGTAGTTGGTGATGTCGCTGATGTCGTAGTTGATGTGACAATTGTACTGGTGCTCGGAAATGTTGTTGTTGTCGTCGGTGATTTTGTTGTTGTTGTTGTTATCGTTGTTGGTGTTGTTGTTGTTGTTATCGTTGTTGGTGTTGTTGTTGTTATCGTCGTTGGTGTTGTTGCTGCTGGTGTTTTATTAGTTGTTGTCGTTGATGCGGATGTTTTTGTTGTTGACTTCGTGGTAGGTGTTGATAGTTCTGATGTTGTAGTCGTAGTTGGCTCTGGAGTCGAAGGCTCTCTTGTTGACGATGATAACACGGTGGATGTTGATACTGATGTTGTCTGAGGTGTTGACTGTGATACCGCACTAGGTCGTATGTCTGCTGTATTGTTACTGTTTCCGGACTGACCTTAAAAGTTTTAAAATATTTAATTTAAAATTGCAATAATTAAAAACTATTTGAAGTAAAGGGAATATTTCAAACAATATATGATACATGAAAGACAACGTCTGCATTGAATATCGAATTAGTTAACTGGTGTGCCTTTTGTACAATCCTTAACAACAATTACCATGAGCTGTGTGTAATTCTTAATTAGTTTTGAAATGTGATAATCACTTGTTCCTGTGCCAATCGTATTCACACAAATAGAAGACTTTTCGTAAACGCTGAGCAATCTATTGAAAGCACTATTATCACACTATCATATAACTAATTCGTTCTTATGACAAGCACATTAACGTCGCGCAAACGTTATTCTCGTAAAAGGCCCATTAGCCAGACACTTTTACTTCAACGTCAGCAATATTCTCAATATGATTTATCAGTTGGCAACACTGTGACACTGTAAACTCAGAAAATGTGATGAACAATATAAGTTTTATATCATTGGCAAACTTACCGGCTGAAGCGTGATCGCAATCACATAGATTTTTATTGTACGAGGTGCCAGGCGGGCATGGCATGTCGATCTTACTGTTAAATACCATTAACACATAGTAATTATCTCCCTTTGATGATACTTCCCGCTCACATTTTAGACCTAAAAGACCAGAAGAAGAATGGTTTTGAGATATGATACCATTTGTTCGAATTTAACAAAATATATGAGCAATTAATGATATAAAAGGCTAATACCTATTAAAAGTGTGATTTTTATTATTATCATCATTATTTTCCTTTTTCGAAATTAGAGTTCAACACCTAAGTTTTACAGAGCATGTCTTAATTTTTGCATATATACGAGTGCTAATATAATTGGCTTGAGTTCATTTCAGGATGTAACATTTTATATGCCCAAACAGTTTCATTAAGGATCAGACAGAACATATTGTATTAAAAACTGATTGAATAGCAGTTAAAATGTTGTATCCAAAAAGATCCTTGTAGAGGTTTCTGTCAAGGCAAGCAAACAGTTATTCAATCTTTTATCAAACAAATAGATAGAATTAGACTGATAAACGAGAACGAACTATAAAGGTATACACAACGACTATATTCTAATAACTTTAATATAATCCCGTATACCCTTAGGTCATTGTTAGTATCGTAGCTAGGAGTTTATGGATTAAGTGTCACTTACCAAAGGTCTCCCTGTTGATAGGAACGGCTGTAATACTTGACGAAAACCATATGACTACCAAGATTACATTCAGAAACATCATGACCTAAAAGAATGCAATTTGTATATTCGTCTCTTGAAGATAACGTTTTAGTTACAGTAAAAAGGTTGATATTAATCAAAAGAAATGCTATATTTTGTTAGTATGCCACATAAAAAGTACATATGTTTTAAAACGAATTAAACATGTACACAAGCGAAATCAGCTATAGCACACCATCTTATAGTTTGCGTTTCTATCACCTACACATGTACATTAATTACGGATACTTCTTACTTGATATAAATACATCACATCAATTCTTTCCACATTTAGACAACAGAACAGGCTAGACCCTAACAATGGCATAAAACTCTTATCTACTCTCATACAGCTTCGTTTACGGGGCATAATGATAGTTTGTTGAATGATAGTATTCTCAAACTTTTCAGAAGAGGTGACTGAAGTGTTTGTTTGAAATCACATTACACAATTAGATATATTTCCAACAAAAAAATAAAGGTAAATGATAAATGAATAAATAGATAAATAAGAACTTTATCTGTGACCAGTTGTAATAACGTGTTATAATGTGTAATCGAACTTTTAATTATATTTTTGACAGTACTTTAATCAATTCGCATCCTCGGTATGACATATATTAACATTCCTTCCTATTTATATAGATGCAGTTTCATGTAAAAATATAATTACTTTATCTCAGCTCAGTGGATAAGATAAATGGCATATCATTAAACTATTGTCTTACGTAAATCCTCGATAGATAGTGTTAAGGAATAAATTACTTTCTTGATTTGTTAAACTCATTTACAAGGACATATATGTAGCGTTATTTATACTTTAAAAAAGAAAACGATACAAATAAATCACTATCAACGTTTAACAGAATATCTCGCCTTTAACAAGCGCCATTGCTTTGAATTTTCCCGAAAAATAGATGAATAATTGGGTAAAAAAACTTACCGTTTTCAGTGAATTCCCAATTTGAATAAGGAATAACGTAAAAATCCACAATTACATCATTTTGCTTGTTCAATATCAGGAATGTAACATGTATGAAACTTTACAATATTGTCGTTCAATTTATAATCAACGAAAAACTAGAAGATTCTGGATTGTCGAAAACGCTTCATTGCACTGACGTTATTTTCAAAAGCCCGCCAGATACCTACATCTGAGTCACAGGGTACAAGACAATGGTTTATATTAGCCAGAGGTGTTCCGGATGCATCCATCTGGAACATAGATTGTTCTGCAATGACTACAGGGGCCGGGTTGGGCCGTATCTGATAGATGTTTGCATACAAGTATTGTAGCAGTGGTCAGTCTGACGAAGGTGGACAATTCGATGACGTACTTGTTTGCAATTATATTGTCCTCTTATCATCATGTCTACCTACAAAGTAGTTAACTGACTGGTCATTGCCTGCCTGATTAGATAATAAATAATTAATTAAATAGTAAACTAAAAAATCAATAGATATAGATATAGAACAACTGTCATATGATGTTAAACAATTACTATAACTTGAAAGGGTCACTGTTATTGTACTGTTATTTATTGCAAAGATAGGATGATTACTATAATTATTACAGTATTAATTTTGTACAATTACACAACAGATATGTATCAGAAATAGAAAAGACATGCAAATAAATCTTTAAATTTAAGTTTTTTCCGTCTTACTCAACTTTTGATAACGTAGAATAAAATAGAACTTTGGCCCACTAAAGATCGACTATGCACCGAGGACATATTGCTCAGGTATGGTGTTATGTATAACACATTATAGGATGTTTTAAAAAGGTTGTCATTTCAGTTGATATTTTTCAAAATGAATATTAAGAGGTTTTTATTTTTGCGAGCCTTGGTGAGAAGAATTCCATATAATAACAATTTTAAAATGAAAACGAATTTAAGATACATTTTAAACACCGAACACAGAAAAAGTTACATTTTGACCGTATTTAAAGAAAAATCAAACGTGAACGGCCATTTTGTTGTGCTAGGTAACGTGTGTGCTCAAGTAACATGACAAAAAAACCATTAAAGATAATATTGACAAAAATACAGAATCTGAATTCGTTGTTGTGAATTTTCCATTTCTGGTCGGCAACTTCCTACATCAACAACCTATTGTGTTTACATGTCGCAGTTTATTCGTTATTCAAAGACCTGTTCCCATCATCGCCATTTTCGTGCCAAAATCGTCAACTGACAGACCGACTCTTAGCACAGGGTTTCAAAAGATGCGCTTTCTTTTTAAATTATGGAGAGGTTTTACGGTCGTCATAATGATATCATCAAGAAAAGTTCTATTTCTTTGTATGATATGAAGCTGGAAGTGTTTGATGCTCGTTAGTTTGCCTGTTGGTTCCATTGTCTTATACCTTGTTTTCATTTGAGAACGTGACATTGCTTTTTTTTCTTCCGGAACACGTGGTCTAAATATCCCTGTACTTTTTTCAGTAGTCTTCGTGTAATTTTTTCTTTTGTTCATATTTGGCCCTAGTTTTATTGAATCTGAGTTTGAATAATGATAATGTTGATATGTTGCTATTTTCTTGTTGCTTTTTTCAAAAACATACATTAGTAGATGTTATATCCGTCTGTCTACCTTAAATTAGCAACAAGTTTATCGATTATATTGCATGTTCGTGTTATAACCTACATTGACGGTTATTTCATCGATTTTACGTGATGCTAATTTGTTTAATATTATCATTGTCAACTTGAGGTATAGTAAAACATTGTGACAGACATGTTAATCGACTGAACAGGTGATTTAGTGTAATCCCATACATAAGATCTAGAAGCTTAAATCTGACGTACAGTGTATTGTTTTACAGGAAATCGTTATCAATTCATAAATGTATGAATATTATGTAACAACAACTGAAACCCACTGCTATACTGCTTAATTGGAACTAATTCTACAAGAAGAGTGATTTGAATTTTTGATTACCCATTGGCAGTATTTTGTGATTTTTAGATAAAGAGTGGAAATATAGTAGGACTGCAATAGACATGTAACAGAAATATGATTCGCTTAACAGGGATCTATTATATATTACATTAAAAACAGACGGTATATAAAAATACCCTTGCTCAAAAAAGATTGGAATCGACAGCCAATGATAATGTAGATCAATGCTGATACATCGGTCACGCTTATCTGTTTACATGCACCGGGTGTTTGTATTTTTAGGATGTTGATCTATCGGAATTTTTACAGGATATGAATTACTTTAATTACCCCAACACTGAAATTCCTAGGAAAAAAACAAGGACAATTTTTCAATGCTGTTCACATTGCGTTAATATTTACATATGAATTTTATAAAAGGTTTTCGGTATTAATTCCTACGAGGGTATAGACAACAGGGTTACAGTCATATAATTAATGTATTCCAGAAACACAAAACCAATCTAGTTTAAATCTCTACATTTGTGTTGCTGCGATTTATCAAGCTTGCAAAACAAACATGCTCATTACTAAGAGGCGTTGAAGGATAATTTAGCATTATGCAAATCTCTAAATATACATGTATGTTTTCGTCTCCACACCATTCATGAAGAAATTTGCGTGTTTTTTTTTTTTTTTTTTCGTTTTCTTTGCTCATACAACAGGTTGTCAGATGCTTACACTACAAATGATTATATGTAATAATGGTAAAAGGAATCCGTGCCTCCGTTATTTATAGATTTATAAGCCAAACCAAATGCTATAGTTTTGCACTAAATCTATTTTACAATGCATTATCTGCATAATGCAATTTATTATCTGTATAATGACATTGTGATTCGGAACATCAGTCCATCGGTTTAAAAAAGTCACAGTCAGAGAGAGGAAGGAGAGTCAACACCAGCTTCACAAGCTCAATACTATGTATGACCACAGCTCTCATTGATGCACAAGTCTACGATGCAGGGAACTGATCAAATTATACAAATATGTTTGGGGAATGTTCATATCCACAATATACGGCGTATTGCATATAACGTCGAAGAAGGATTTAGTTCCGGAAAACGACGTCTCTCAATTTCCTCCCGAACATGATTGATAGACTGGAGACAAGTCTGGTGATACAGCAGCTTAAGGTAGCGCGGTGACGTTCTGATGCTGTAGAAATTCACAACCAACACGTGACATATGAGGTCGAATGCTGCGCAGCTGTAAAATGAAGAACGAATGATATACATTTTGTCACGGTAACGTGTTCCGGTCAAGTTAAGTTCCACTGCGACCAAAGGGGTCGTCCTCCGTGTTGTTATGCCACCTCGGCTCCATTTGCCGAGCTGACGACGCTGAATTAGACAATCACCACTCTGTTCGACCAACAGTACATCAGGACACGACTTACACTGATATCAAGGTGAAATTTGGACTCATCTTTAAATAGTACTATACACCAGTCCCTATTGGTGAAGCTAGATGTCTCCTGCCCCATGCACTGACATAATGATACAGTAGTAATACTGGTAGAATGTTTACATAACTACTATGCATTTTAGTAAGTAAATTAAAAAAAGATCGACGGAAATTATATATTATTCTTTATGATAAAATGGTAGGATTTTCTTAAGTTATAGAGTAATTCTTTCACAAAAAAAAAAAAAAAAAAACATGGCGACTGCCTCAGTATGACACTTTACTAATCACTACTAGATCTATACATTCAATATTAGCGAAACATTATATGACAGGTGTATATGTGCAATAATATGTGTTGTCCCAGATCAGTCAGCGATAATGTCAAACGATAATCACCGATAGTTGAGTGATTAGTATTTGCTTTTTAAGTTTATCGTCGGCTGTTTTACGTCTACAATTATTTCCACTTGTCTTTGCCTTAAAAGGTTAAAAGGTTCAGAGTCTGTATACACGTATATTATGTTTTATTTTGAGGAATGTTCAAAGCATTTCAGACCTTATAATTTCAAATGGGCAGTTGTTACAAACTGATAACTAATGACTTTCCAAATAACGACATATCTAGATTACATGGTTGGTGTATTGGTTGCTATGAAATACTCTAGCATAACACCAACTGTGATTAAACATTTGGGCTCATAACGATGAAGAATATCACTGTTTGTGAAACAGTAACTCAGAATAGTTCTTCTTCTAGGCTAATGATGAATCACAGGAAAACAATGGTTTGCTTTCCATTCGTTTACTTTGATAATTATTGCAACTAATTGGAATACCTTTAGAACGGAACGAAATCCATTAAAACTAATTAATCAGTTCTTCAAATGAAAATGTTTTGTGATGATAGTGATAAAGGCAGACATAAAGAAAACAAAACTATTACATTGTAATGAGTAATTATAAAGCAGCTTTGACAAAAGCAGCGTCATTTCACCAGACATTCACGCTCAAGAGCATCTATTTGAAAAGACCGATATTTATTAAAATGTTACATATATTGAGGATGTCTGGTATTTACAATAGTAACTTAATTCATTGTATTCGCCCACAAGAATCGCAAAAATATAGAATCTAGTGACTCCTCTACATCAATAACTTCTTCTAGATCTTTACCAAGAGCGAAAACCTTTCAATAAGCTGAATGCTAAATTTGATTATTTCGATTTTAGTAAAAATGAAGTTTGCTTTTCTATAGACAAATCCAACCATGTCTTCCAGTCAATAATGTTCATTTATAATTATCGATCTGATAATCAATAACTTGTTTTCAACCTTTTCTTAATATATCGAGTAAACTTATCAAATGTATTCCAGACGTTCAAGTTGATGAAAACTATTGGAAAGATTTTATCATCGTAACCTTATTAGGAAAACATTCTATTTAACTCTATATTTGGTTTGAATTAAGATTTTGTCAGTATTTTCTATCCTTATATTCTGAAGACTTAATGTATTTTTGTCTTCTGAGCTTGATTTGATATTGTCATCTGTTGTCATCCATCTTTAATGTTTTTGCTAATTTGTTTTTTGCGAAATGAAACAAGACGTGTTTGATACTCGTTAATTTGCCCATTGGTTCCGCTGCTGTATATATCTTGTATATATATCTTGTTTTCATTTGAGAACGCGCCATTATATAATAGGGAGGTACAGATCACGTAAACAATAGTTAATTAATACATAGCTTGTAAGATAAAATTGTAATATAACTGGTTTCAGTTTTAGTGTCACTAGACGCCATGAAAAAAGAAGTTAACTTGATGAGGGATTATTTAAGACTAATATTGGTGAGAAATAGAGTAGATTACAACAATAATCAATAACATCCCACACAACGAATTTTACATACCACCCTGCTCTTTAGGTACGGTGCATCCCAGGCCCTTCACGACAATAAAAATGGATACCGAATGTGCTTTTAGATCTATAAATTCAAAGGCTTAATTCACAGTATGGCGCTTCACCCCGGTTAGCCTGTAGGATGAATATCATTCTCCGTGCAAATATTTCTTTTGTTTATATTTTGCCCTAGTTTTATAGAATTTGAGTTTGAATTATGATTATGTTGCAATGTTGGTATTTGCTTGATTTTTCACCCCCTTATGACAATTTGTGAAAAGTTTAAATATATTTAATATGACATTTAAGTAAACCGCTGTTAACCCTGTTTTTCTCTATACAGTATCATATTACTTTTATGGAAAAAAAAACTGATGGAATAATTTTGAGTGAAAATATCATTATAGTGTCTGATTGTGTTAGCTTGTTCGTTTATTTGTTTGTTTTTTAGCAATTTTGCATTACGTTTCTTACGTTTCTAATTATTGTACATACACATGTTTAAATGACGGCTGAAATGAAAGGAGTTAATGATGTTTTTATATATGTAGGCTAATGTGTTCAGGATCGATCTGCTGTTTCAAAGTCGTTGGATTTTTTTTTATATATTTACATAAGGAAGACGCACCTCTTGTTAGAAATAGACTTTTAGGATATTGGTAATTTTTGAAAGTCAATAAACGAATATGTACCCAGCGATCACGTATTGAAAGAGTTAAATCACGTGGCTGTACATCAATTACAAATAATTTTAAATCTAATTTCACGTGTTTTAATACTGATGTGGGCATGTTTATATGATGTCAGGAATTCTATTGTAGCTTAAAAGGTTACGAAGGCCATCAGAAGCATCTCTCGACCTTCTCCTCGTGTCTTTGTGTAGTGTGGCGGATGTCAATATATTTCACTCTGTATGTCTTGACTTAAGCTATCGCGACAAAGGTTTAAAACGGGTCACAAATAAGAACTTAGGGAGGAATACACCTCCTAACAACGATGTGTATCTAGTATTGTTCAGCGGCAATTTCTGTTAATATAGGGGACCAGAGTTCCTGTTAAACATAATTGAATTCTCTTTGTTTAAAGTAATATCCCATTTAGCTGTTTAATCGCATAAAATCAATATGCGAGAAACATTCCGCAATATCCGGCATTTAGTGTTATTTCCGGTCGTGTCGAACTATCGACTCCGAATAAATGTGAGAGGCTATGACATATAATGATGTATATTGTTCTTTCTGTATGTCAATGGTGACATAGGTGATCCGTCGATAATGCAAGGATATTAAAACACAGAGAGGATGGAAGTCCCAGCGAGACTCTATCTTAATATACGCTTCGTAGATATTTAGCATTTATTCATTATGTGCGAACATCAACAAAAATGATGATTGTGTTAAACGAGCTAAACAGAGAGCGAGAGAGAGAGAGAGAGAGAGAGAGAGAGAGAGAGAGAGAGAGAGAGAGAGAGAGAGAGAGAGAGAGAGAGAGAGAGAGAGAGAGAGAGAGAGAGAGAGAGAGAGAGAGAGATGTCAGTGTTTTCAATAAGGCCAATCAAGTATTTGACATCTCTCCAATTTGCTTTATCATTTAATATACTAAAATAAACAGCAACATGTCTCCTATGCTTGATGTTTACTTTCAATTGACAAAAACGATATAATGTAATATATTTTTTTTCTTCTTTTCATTCTTTCATAATTTTTTGCTTCCCCACTGTACATTTTTTTGTTTATGTTCGTTCTTTTTTCAAATGCTTTAACAATGCTTTAAAGATGGCATTGATATCCGGCTGTATACCCAAACCTTGTATATTTGACGAAAAAGGGAAAGTTTTCCTCCTATCATTGTCCTGATATTATCTATCAGAAATAAATCTGTTGTATCAATACCGCAGTTCGATGAAAATTTACACAAAATCTAAATTAACAATAGTAAACCATTGATTTCTCAAAAACAATATTCCAGTATATTTTCATCTACTTTAAATGTCACATTTTATTATCATTTCGTTTATCGGGGTAGAAAAAGAAACATCCGTATGGTCTAGAACTCCCTTGTCAGGGTACCATTCTCCCTTATTTGGTTCTACGTCGTTCACCCCTGATTTATCACACTTAAAGACGGTGTCAGCAAGTAGTCACACATGTTTTTAATGAGCTGTAGAGAGGTCTTGTTGAAAGCTTTCAGACAAACAAACAAACTTGAACAGATTTTGTATAAGTAATCCTCTCGGGTATAGATAAATATTAGTCAAAATAATAATAAAAATGATAATAATACAATGGAGTGGTAAGAATTATTTACCAGCATGCTAACTACAACGATATGCAACTCAAAGTACTTTAACTACATATTATCAATCTATATAGTTTGTTCCATATATATATCGATCTTTGTGTTCTCTTGAGCGTTCATGACGTTGGCCGTGGCCATGCTAGATATAATAAACGATGTTCTGGTAATGTTTCTATGTTAAGTGTTACTAAAGGGCAAAGGTGTTGTTTACAAAATAAATGGAAGTTGATTGGAAAAGGCCCTCCGATCAACATTACATCCTTTTAATAACACATCAGTGACTCCAACAATCAATCTGTCGAATAGTAGCATCATCAACGTATGACTCTATTTCATAATAAACGCGCCATTTGTTTTATTGTGTTGTTATGATATATTTATCATAACATACTTTTATAGAGCTAAGGTACGATCAACAAAAATATGAGCATCTTTCATCGTGCTGTGATTGGGTAAGGCATGGCCAATTACAACTGCTTACTGGCATACAAAGTACCAATCACTCACACATATATATAACGAATATGCGCTGCTGATGATTATTCGTAGGGCGTGTAATACATTGCTGGAACGTATAACGGTTACTGTTAACTCCCATCAATCTCAGATTGTCAATTGACCCGACTAGAGTTTGCATTCTCCATAGAGACGACAACTTTCAATCTTCATAGGTAAGTAGCTTTTTGTCATAACTAACTCTCTAAAGAATTTCTTAATCATAAAAATAAAACTGGATAATGGATTAGTTCTAGCATGAGATAAGAACAAAAGGTGGAGTAATAACAGAATGGTTTGATCTTAGAATGTTTCAATTACATCCTGTATGAATCAGAAGCCAGTAACCATTTCAATTTTTCTTTGTTCGTAAAATTATTTGGTTTCTGACATACTTTGAGGTTGTAAATCATTGGCGTATGGAAATTAATTCTGGCGCTTCCGTGAAGAGGGCACATACTTCATTACCATTTTTGAGCCCTTAATAAGCAAGCTCTTAAACACAACTCTATTTGATAGATATTGTTAACTGTTTGCTCTACAAAGAGTTCTTCATCAACACACTTTGTTTTACCTACATTACAGAACCTTCCTTTTCTGTCACGTCACCGATGGGGCAGAGATGCCAGTTTAGCTACAACATCTGTGAAGAAATCAACCCGAAATAAGTGGTAAACGATATAAGGTTGATATTTAACGTTTTTACTATCGTTCCATCCAAACATTGGAAATCAGAAAACAGGAACTGTTCGTTCAGATGCTAAGTTGGCGTTGATAAAAATACTTCATACATAAACAATACAAACTGTTGCTATCGGAATTACTAAAACTTGAAAAAAAATGGCAACGAATCTGACTGGAAATTCCACGACCGGAGAGGAGGAAGACGATGCGTTATTTGGACTGAATATTGTTGTACCAATTGGAATTATAATCGCAATAATCATAATTATAGCAATTGTTGGGAATGTGTTTACCATTGCAGCTTTCATCAAAGACCGGAAGTTGCGCTCAACTTACAACATCTACATCGTTAACCTAGCCGTGACAGACTTACTCCTAGGATGTCTCAGTATGCCGTTTTACGCTGTGTACACTTTGAAGACACACACGTGGCCTTTTGGATATCATTTCTGTAAAGCATACATGGTAATAGACTTCACGCTGTGTCTCGAGGCTGTGCTTGTTATGATCATTCTCAGTCTGGATCGACTACTGTTACTTAAACAAGGGTCGCAATACATGCACAAAGAGACAAATAAAGTTGCCTGCATCAAGATCGCTATATCCTGGGTCATATCGTTTCTTCTGTACAGCCCTGCTATCATTGGTTGGGACATTTGGACAGGCCAAGACTCTAATGAACCTGGCGACTGCGATGTGCAATTCGCCTATAATTTTGATTTCACGATGGCAACTGCTGTTATTGAGTTTGGTATACCTTTCATATGCCTAAGTGTTTTGAATTTGATAATATACCTAGAAATACGTAAACGAATACAGGCAAAAGAAAACTCGAAGAAAGTTCCAAAATATCAACCCTCCTCTATTCCTGTAACAGGTACAAGCGGTAGCAATCCAGTCAACGGAGATACGTCCAAGTCGCAGGTCGAACAACAACGTGGAGCTGCGCAAGGAACAACAATGCAAAATGCAGTTCAGCCAATCCAAGATACTCAAAAGATGCGTGGTGTTCGGAAGGACACAAAAGCTGCCAAGAGTCTGGGACTATTGGTAATCGTGTTTGCCATCACCTGGGCTCCCTATACGGTAACTACCATCATAATATCAGCTTGTGAGGCTTGTGTCAATGAGGATGTTTATGAGTTCCTTAACTGGTTGCTGTGGACTAAGGCGGCACTTAACCCGTTCCTGTACGCTTACAATAATCAAAGGTTCAGAGAACACTTCATGTACTTTCTCTTTTGCTTCAGGAAACGTAACCGTGTCCATACTGAGCAAACTGTTTCTACAGTGTCCTAACAAACCATCTTATTGATAACATGAAAGGTGGTGAAACCAACAACATTTAAATAAAGTAAATAACCTTCTGAACTTTTTTGAAAAATCAGTGTCGAAAATAACATCTTAAGGACTGTATACTGCTTGTCAGAAATGTACATACATATTTGTGGCATTCAGAAAATAATATCGCAAAAATGTAACACGAGGAAAAGGGAAAAATTTAGAAAAGGTACAAAAGTCATTGTAACTTTCAAAGATGTTTAATAAGCTAACATTTTTGTAATCATTAATCGTTTAAAACAACAAATAAATAAATAAAGATGTCATTACTTCGATACGGTACCCACGAAATTATAGCGGACGGAGAAACATAGGATATCCAAAAATAGTTTGGTATCTAAAAGTATTGACGAAAATCATGCCATGTAAATACACGCATTTTGTTTGGCTAATATACAAGTTGTGTAACGGTTACAATTAAATCAGATTATACATATACATAGACATAACAAAGATAACTCAACACATTTTTCATCCCGAATTTGTTGATGTTCTATTGACAATACAGAAGTGACGCAAAAAACAACAACAAAACAAAGAAAAACAAAACAAAAAATAAAAACAAAAACAAACAAAAAAAAAATGCTTGAACACTAAAACAGACATGATTTTTTCCCGTTTTTTATGCACTAGAATTTACTTTTTGTTTTTATTCGTGATTGATTAAAAAATAAAGAAGAAAAAAATGAAGAAAAAATGAAGAGAGAAAAAAATGATAACAATAAAGCCTTTGAATAATTCTGGGATTATCGATGTCCTTGTTACAAAATGCATCGGTAGAAAGGAGTATGGTTAAAGTAACATTTACACGGAATCTTTCTCTGGAATAAGGAGATGGAAAACAAAATAAACGGCAAAAAGTAAATAGATCTTGAATCAAACGAAAACAAAGATTCGTGTGCGGTACCGGAAGGAGCGAGCATTTCCTTCGTATAAAGTGCGAGATCCGTCATGATGGAAACGTCACTTTGTGATATTCAGGGAAGTTAACAGTTTACTGGCGATGGCAAACGATTAGACAATACCGAAGGAATATATCTACGATAGAAACACTAACTCACGTTGTTCAATAAAACACATAAAAAGGATTTTTGTTGATAACTGAACCAATGAAGAAACGACGCTACGTATACCAATTGTGATAGCAAGGTGATGTTATATGAAATGACGTCAGACAAGTTATGGTTCATGTGCATCGAAATACATGAAAAAAAGACGTGATCTGTCGTTTGATTGTTTTCGATTGTTTTTACATAGTGCAAAAGTGTTAGATATTGTTATAGATGATTGTTTTTCATGATTTTTGATAACTTTTTGTATATGAAATAACTCTAGCCTTCTTGTCCTGTAAATAGATCAGCAGAGTAACATTGTGGTAGACAACACTGTCAGTCTTGTTTGAATCGAGCATAATTCTATAAAAAGGGACGAACGGCATGGATTGTGGTAAGGATTTACTTAGCAGCGCAATCGACATAAAACTGTTTGGGAACACTCTGGTAAGGTAGAAACAGTGTGTTTAATAGCAATGTCAGTACAAGTCAGAAAGCCTGTTTTCTTACCTGCAAAATTGTCCATTCTCGGAGGGAATAAAAAGCTTTAAGGTAATAAGTCCATGTCAGGTTTTTATAGGTTATACATATATGCATAAGACACAAAATGAATAGCATGTTTAGATACAACTTTATGGTCAGATACGTTAAAGCCAAGAGGGGATCAAACTGTATCAGACAGCTGTTTCGTCCTCCGAGGACGCAAGGAGCCTGAAATGCAAGCTGTCATTATTCTTTTGCTTATGACAGTAGTAAATATTCACAAAATTGTACTGTATCATCTGACAAAACACAAATTGTTAACCAGAACAAAATGTACCATTTTCCAGGTCATTATTATCGATATATGCAAACATTTAGTGTCAAAGACAGATTATGTTTATCGTCAATATCAAAACTTAATATCTTAATTGCTCTTTTCAAAAGAAAAGAAATCAATATAAATTTCCCTGTGAAATCATATTGAAATCCAAACCGATAAGGAATCTGCCTGAGGCATTCCTTTGTGGAAGTGTTGTTTTCACACTAGTATTTGTTTCATTTTTGGAACAGGCACTTCGATGCCATTATGAAGGTACACTGGCGATGTTTGTCTTACCGTGGCATAATGTTTACTTTCTGTTTTGTTCATATCGTTGACACAACGATATTCATATATGGTATACTTGAATCAAAGTACAATAGGGGTAATTCATTTCACAATATATTCTAAACAACGGTGTGTCAAATATTGAATATTTCTAAAACTATCGACCGATTATACAAATGTTACCTATATAATGTAAATACTTATTACTTCATGAGTCGCTCAACATTTTCAGGATACATGGTTATCTTATCGATGTTGGACAATATGCCTCCAGGTGGATTTGTTATGATGTCGTGAAATATCAATATGTAAATTATGTTTTTGACGTAACTTTCGCTTTGCTGGAAATCTGTAATTTTGCGTACCATTATTTCAGGATTTGCCAAAATGGCTGCCAAACATTGTGATGATTGCTATGGCGTATCATTGTGTGATTAGCATTGAAAAAAGAATAGCAAATCGATTTGAAAATAATGTTTGACCTGTGCGTGCCTGTTGATCTTACCAACTTCAAACATAAATCGTCGAGGAACCAAACTTCATTCAATTAAACATACTGATTTTACAAGATACCGCATAATATCAGACTCAGTACGAATATTGGCGTTTGATTTTAAAAATTGTTGAGTTTTAATAGTTTATTTATTGTTGCATGATATTTGTAAATAGCTGTCAATATTTGACTGTAATCGTTTCGTAAAACGAAATATTCAGTTAATGTCTGAATGTGACTTTCTGACAAAATTCCTTATAGAAAGAACATATTTTTCATTAATCATTTTCGTTTTTTCTCTAAAATTCATTTTGTCCTTGTTTCATTTTTTTTCATAAAATTAACTTTCATCAAATCATGTGAATGTATACTGCAACGTTTGTCTTAATTGCCCCTTTTTTGTGAGACAGTGTGGTACAATTTTCATATACTGGAACTCATTTTGGTAAATTGACATCCTAAAAGAACAGAAAGATTTCTAATGTTGATATCAATTATTTGTTCATGCCGTAGAAAATAAGGGTCACTACACATTCAGAATTTCAAATTAAAGAATCTTAGTATGATATGGTGAATATAAAACATATATTAACTACCTTGACCTTAATTTCATAGGTAGTAATAGAAGATAGAATATAAAAATAGGCACCTATGGCGACCGAAAACAGTAGGAGTTAATCTCGATATTGTTCTGAGATCTCAATTTGTTTTCTTTACAAAGCAGTTTCTCATTCTTCTGTCGGATGTAAATTTGAAGTTTCCAAATATTAATTAATTTAAAAGAAAATTTTACTGAAGTGCGTAGTGTTGATTGTTTACACAGTTTTTGTATTCTATACAATATGTTAACGTCATATACAGGGGAGATAACCGCCACCCCATCCCTAAATAAAATATGTATTGTCTGTTTGCTGGTTTGTGTACTTCTGTGCGAACAAAATATTTTTCAAACCACCAAAGCCAATTTAATGTGATATGTTGATCGCTGACCCTCTAGTTGTTCGGTATCAACTGATTAGTGGGCTTTTGTTTAAACAAATGCATAGTCATGTCTGTGGAAGGCGCTTTAATAAAATACAAAACGCTGCCTATTGACTGCCTGTTTGAATATGTAAACAATTGTGGATTTTATTACAATATTTATAACAAAACATCTGTTAATTTTCTGAATATGTTTTAATATAGTAAACCACGTGATCTCATTGTTTGATTACCCAACCTAAAGTCCGGTTCTTAATCTCTGACATACCTGATCAAGTTAAATAGCAACATGTATTTATACAAAATCCGCAAAGCAGTGCTTGTTCGACATTTACTGCTGGTAGAATTTCAGATCGTGTTGTAATATGAAAATTAATCATATTAATCATTAACTGCAATACCAATTAATTTACACCTGATGTTGGAGCATTTATTTATTTTATGAATTATAAACCATCAATTGTTAAAATGCAATAGAATACTTGTTTCAGTACAAATATTGAACATATTCACCCTAGGTGAGTCACTTAAAACGACAGTATTAATAAAATAGCATTACTATGGGCACACGAAAAACCCCAATCAATGACTTAAAAATACACATATACATTCATAAACTAGTGTAATTAAGGAGACAAAAATAGTTTTAAAAATAGACTAATCAAGGAATACCCTGAAAAATAACATAATCAAAGAAGAAAAAAAAAAGATTACAGAAACCATATCAAAGGAAAAGTGAACATAAAATAGCGTAATTAAAGGAACACAAAAACATTTTTAGATTGGCATAAAAAAAAAAAAAAACCACGTTAGTCAACTATCTAGACTGATCTTAAGAAATGTCGAAAGTTGATGGAGAGTGTGCTGCGTCGTAACTCAATATTTGTTATGAATTTTGAAGTGCATTATGTTCAGAATTACGTCACTGTCAGATTAGAAATAAAAAGACATGCAGGTTACTGTAACCCACAGAGACTTTGGTAAATGTTACAGTCTAGTCACAAGCAATATATACAGGTTTAGAAGTGTTAAAATAACTGTATACAGGTAATTCATTTACCTTGGAACTGTGCTAGAATATTGTTAATTTGTCAATTTACATGATAATGTATGTATAGATACATTTGCTACATTTTTCTCCTTTTTACGCATCGACTAACTCAGGTGTCCACATTGAGATCCAAGAAAGACAACTCCAACATTTGCTGTCGACGAATAAGTTCGATACGTTTACGTGTCATGCATTAAAATCGAAATATTGTACGATGCGACAGAAATAATAATAAAAAAAAACATATATGATTGCTTCTACTAACACCATCAACCATCCTGTGGGTCTAGA